TAAGTTTCATTAGGTCCCATTTGTTTATTTTTGTTTTTATTTCCATTACTCTAGGAGGTGGGTCAAAAAAGATCTTGCTGTGATTTATGTCAAAGAGTGTTCTTCCTATGTTTTCCTCTAAGAGTTTTATAGTGTCTGGTCTTACATTTAGGTCTCGAATCCATTTTGAGTTTTTTTTTGTGTGTATGGTGTTATAGAGTGTTCCAATTTCATTCTTTTACATGTAGCTGTCTGGTTTTCCCAGCACCACTTATTGAAGGGACTGTCTTTTCTCCATTGTATATCCTTGCCTCCTTTGTCATAAATTAGTTTACCATAGTTGTGTGGGTTTATCTCTGGGCTTTCTATCTTGTTCCATTGATCTATGTTTCTGTTTTTGTGCCAGTACCATATTGTCTTGATTACTGTAGCTTTGTAGTATAGTCTGAAGTCAGGGAGTCTGATTCCTCCAGCTCCGTTTTTTTCCCTCAAACAGCTTTGGCTATTCGGGGTCTTTTGTGTCTCCATACAAATTTTAGGATTTTTTGTTCTAGCTCTGAAAAAAATGGTAATTGGTAACTTGATAGGGATTGCATTGAATCTATAGATTGCTTTGGGTAATATAGTCATTTTCACAATATTGATTCTTCCAAGAACATGGCATATCTCTCCATCTGTTTGTATCATCTTTAATTTCTTTCATCAGTGTCTTATAGTTTTCTGCATACAGGTCTTTTGTCTCACTAGGTAGGTTTATTCCTAGGTATTTTATTCTTTTTGTTGCAGTGGTAAATGGGAGTGTTTCCTTAATTTCTCTTTCACATTTTTCATCATTAGTGTATAGGAATGCAGGAGATTTCTGTGCATTAATTTTGTATCCTGCAACTTTACCAAATTCATTGATTAGCTCTAGAAGTTTTCTGTTGGTAGCTTTAGGATTCTCTATGTATAGTATCATGTCATCTGCAAACAGTGACAGTTTTACTTCTTCTTTTCCAATTTGTATTCCTTTTATTTCTTTTTCTTCTCTGATTGCCGTGGCTGGGACTTCCAAAACTATGTTGAATAATAGTGGCGAGAGTGGACAGCCTTATCCTGTTCCTGATCTTCGAGGAAATGCTTTCAGTTTTTCACCATTGAGAATGATGTTTGCTGTGGGTTTGTTGTATATGGCCTTTATTATGTTGAAGTAGGTTCCCTCTATGGACACTTTCTGGAGAGTTTGTATTATAAATGGGTGTTGAATTTTGTCAAAAGCTTTTTCTGCATCTATTGAGATGATCATATAGTTTTTCTTCTTCAATTTGTTAATATGGTTTATCACATTGATCGATTTGTGTATATTGAAGAATCCTTGCATCCCTGGGATAAATCCCACTTGATCGTGGTGTATGATCCTTTTAATGTGTTGTTGGATTCTGTTTGCTAGTATTTTGTTGAGGATTTTTCCATCTGTATTCATCAGTGATATTGGTCTGTGATTTTCTTTTTTTGTAGTATCTTTGTCTGGTTTTGGTATCAGGGTGATGGTGGCCTCATAGAATGAGTTTGGAAATGTTCCTTCCTCTGCATTTTTTGGAAGAGTTTGAGGAGGATAGGTGTTAGCTCTTCTCTAAATGTTTGATAGAAATCACCTGTGAAGCCATCTGGTCCTGGACTTTTGTTTGTTGGAAGGTTTGTAATCACAGTTTCAATTTCATTACTTGTGATTGGTCTGTTCATATTTTCTATTTCTTCCTGGTTCAGTCTTGGAAGGTTATACCTTTCTAAGAATTTGTCCATTTTTTCCAGGTTGTCCATTTTATTGGCATAGAGTTGCTTGTAGTAGTCTCTCATGATGCTTTGTATTTCTGCGGTGTCTGTTGTAACTTCTCCTTTTTCATTTCTAATTTTATTGATTTGAGTCCTTTCCCTCTTTTTCTTGTTGAGTCTGGCTAATGGTTTATCAATTTTATCTTCTCAGAGAACCAGGTTTTAGTTTTATTGTTCTTTGCTATTGTTTTCTTTGTTTCTATTTCATTTACTTCTGCTCTGATCTTTATGACTTCTTTCCTTCTACTAACTTTGGGTTTTGTTTGTTCTTCTTTCTCTAGTTCCTGTAGGTGTAAGGTTAGATTGTTTATTTTTTCTTCTTCTTGAGGTAGGATTGTATTGCTATAAACTTCCCTCTTAGACCTGCTTTTGCTGCATCCCATAGCTTTTGGATCATCATGTTTTCTTTGTCATTTGTCTCTAGGTATTTTTGATTTCCTCTTTGATTTCTTCAGTGATCTCTTGGTTATTTACTAACGTATTGTTTAGCCTCCATGTGTTTGTGTTTTTTTATGGTTTTTTTCCCTGTAATTGATTTCTAATCTCATAGCATTGTGGTCAGAAAAGATGCTTGATATGATTTCAGTTTTCTTAAATTTACTGAGGCTTGATTTGTGACCCAAGATGTTATCTATCCTGGAGAGTGTTCTCTGTGCACTTGAGAAGAAAGTGTAATCTGCTGTTTTTGGATGGAATGTCCTACAAATGTCAATTAAATCTGTCTGGTCTGTTGTGTCATTTAAAGCTTGTGTTTCCTTATTAATTTTCTATTTGGATGATCTGTCCATTGGTGTAAGTGAGGTGTTAGCGTTCCCCACTATTATTGTGTTATTGTCGATTTCCTCTTTTATAGCTGTTAGCAGTTGCCTTATGTATTGACGTGCCCCTATGTTGGGTGCATGTATATTTGTAATTGTTATATCTTCTTCTTGGATTGATCCCTTGATCATTATGTGTTTTCCTTCCTTGTCTCTTGTAACATTCTTTATTTTAAAGTCTATTTTATCTGATATGAGTATTGCTACTCCAGCTTTCTTTTGATTTCCATTTGCATGGAATATCTTTTTCCATTCCCTCACTTTCAGTCTGTATGTGTCCCTAGGTCTGAAGTGGGTCTCTTGTAGACAGCATATAGATGGGTCTTGTTTTTGTATCCATTCAGCAAGCCTGTGTCCTTTGGTTGGAGCATTTAATCTGTTCACGTTTAAGGTAATTATGAATATGTATGTTCCTGATACCATTTTCTTAATTGTTATGGGTTTGTTTTTGTAGGTCCTTTTCTTCTCTTGTGTTTCCTGCTTAGAGAAGTTCCTTTAGCATTTGTTGTAGAGCTGGTTTGGTGGTGCTGAATTCTTTTAGCTTTTGCTTGTCTGTAAAGCTTTTGATTTCTCCGTTGAATCTGAGTGAGATCCTTGCTGGGTAGAGTAATCTTCATTGTAGGTTCTTCCCTTTCATCACTTTAAATATATCATACCACTCTGTTCTGGCTTGTAGAGTTTCTGCTGAGAAATCAGCTGTTAACCTTATGGGAGTTCCGTTGTATGTTACTTGTCGTTTTTCCCTTGCTGCTTTCAGTAATTTTTCTTGGTCTTCAATTTTTGGCAATTTGATTACAGTGTGTCTCGGCATGTTTCTCCTTGGGTTTATCCTGCTTGGGACTCTCTACGCTTCCAGAGAGTGGCTATTTCCTTTCCCATGTTAGGGAAGTTTTCAACTAAAATCTCTTCCATTATTTTTTCGGGTCCTTTCTCTCTCTCTTCTCCTTCTGGGACCCCTATAATGCGAATGTTGGTGCGTTTAATGTTGTCCCAGAAGTCTCTTAGGCTGTCTTCATTTCTTTTCAGTCTTTTTTCTTCATTCTGTTCTGTGGCAACGAATTCCACCATTCTGTCTTCCAGGTCATTTTTCCGTTTTTCTGCCTCCATTATTCTGCTACTGATTCCTTCTAGCGTATTTTTCATTTCACTTATTGTATTGTTCATCTCGTTTGTTTGTTCTTTAATTCTTCTGGGTCTTTGTTAAATACTTTTTGCATCTTCTCAGTCTTTGCCTCCATTCTTTTTCTGAGGTCCTGGATCATATTCACTATCATTATTCTAAATTCTTTTTCCAGAAGTTTGCCTATCTCCACTTCATTTAGTTGTTTTTCTGGGGTTTTCTCTTGTTCCTTCATCTGGTACATAGCCCTCTGCCTTTTCATCTTGTCTGTCTTTCTGTGAATGTGGTTTTTGTTCCACAGGCTACAGGATTGTAGTTCTTCTTGCTTCTGCTGTCTGTCCTCTGCTGGATGAGGCTATCTAAGAGGCTTGTGCAAGCTTCCTGATGGGAGGGACTGGTGGTGTGTAGAGCTGGGTGTTGCTCTGGTGTGCAGAGCTCAGTAAAATTTTAATCTGCTTGTCTGCTGACCGGTGGGGCTGGGTTCCCTCCCTGTTGGTTGTTTGGCCTGAGGCAACACAGCACTGGATCCTACCTGGCTCTTTGGTGTGGCTAATGGCAGACTCTGGGAGGGCTCACGCCAAGGAGTACTTCCCAGACCTTCTGCTGCCAGTGTCCTTTTCCTCACAGTGAGCCACAGCCACCCCCTGCCTCTGCAGGAGACCCTCCAACACTATCAGGTAGGTCTGGTTCAGTCTCTTATGGTGTCACTGCTCCTTCCCCTGGGTCCCAATGGGCACACTACTTTGTGTGTGCCCCCCAAGAGTGGAGTGTCTGTTTCCCCCAGTCCTGTGGAAGTCCTGCAATCAAATCCTGCTAGCCTTCAAAGTCTGATTCTCTAGGAATTCCTCCTCCCTTTGCTGTACCCCAAGGTTGGGAAGCTTGACGTGGGGCTCAGAACCTTTACTCTCATGGGTGGAGTTGTGTGGTGTAAGTGTTTTCCAGTTTGTGCGTCACCCACCCAGCAGTTATGGGATTTTATTTTATTGTGATTGCGCCCCTCCTGCTGTCTCATTGTAGCTTCTCCTTTGTCTTTGGATGTGGTGTATCTTTTTTGGTGAGTTCTAGTGTCTTCCTGTCAATGATTGTTCAGCAGTTAGTTGTGATTCTGGTGCTCTCGGAAGAGTGAGCGAGCACACATCGTTCTACTCCGCCATCTTGAACCCGTTTTCCAGTTTTTACAATTTTAAATCGTACCTTTTTTCAAAAAAAAAAAGTTTAAAAATGCTGGTGATAGTTTCTATAACCTAGGAAGAATATTCTTTGTTTCTTAGGTACAAAGTGTTTTGAAGCCAGTCCACCAGAAGGAAGGACAAGAATTAACTGCTTTGCTGAATGCTCCACATATTCAGGTAGAAAATGGAGAGAGCATCATATATGTGGTTTTTCCAGCATCCAAAACCACTTTGAATCAGAGTCTCTTGGGCTAAAAGAGACCTCATATATTAATGTAGCCTGTTTTGATTGCTTACAACTCCCACTGCAGAATAATTATTGTTGGATTATACATTTTTGTACTTAAAGTTAACCACATTATTTTTGAAACAACTTCTTATTCTTTACAAATTCCTCCCTTTTTTGGTCATATTTTTCCATAAATTTTAATTATCTGTGATGTTGGACCCTTGAGGTAATTTTGTTTTTTATGAAGTTTAATAAGCATTTTAGACTTTGATAACTCATCCCAGAGTATTCCCTATTATACCTAACAAATCTTTAGTTATTATTAGCTATAAAAGATACAGGGTTGCATCTGTACTTCAGTTGGAAAGTTTGGAAAGAGATCTGAATATATAATTAATTGCAGCACTTCTTTTAAAGGTTTAATGATCAGGATACTATGTACATGATTAGGTTAAAATCTTTCTACAGAAATAAATCATGCTATTACTTTAAATACTATGGGTTTCTTTGAAACAGGCACTTTTACTGGCCCATGATAAGGTTGCTGAGCAGGAAATGCAGCTAGAGCCCATTACAGATGAGAGAGTTTATGAAAGCATTGGCCAATATGGAGGAGAAACTGTAAAAATAGTTCGTATAGAAAAGGCTCGAGATATTCCATTGGTAAGTGTCCCACATCTCTGATATAAGATCCTTTCTACACAGGGGTCTTCTGTATGGCAGATAGTTGAAGACCCTTTACATTTCTGGTAGTTTTTCTCTTTGGAGGCTAATTTTTTGGGATTCTTTTATGTTCTTCCTCATACTCCTTATTCATCTGAGAAATAATTTGTTCATCTTTTCTCACCCATAATTTGATGAAAATAATAGCTTGTGAAGTAATTGTTGAACAAAGAAGGGACAAGTAAGCTGCTTCATTAGTCTGCCAGCTTTTTAAAAAAACAGTGGAAATTCTGATCTTTTCATTCAATGTAATTACTTACTTCACATATACTTAGAAGTATGCATTGTTTAATGTTAATATTTTGTAGTTTTTATATGTAGAACATTTTTCTGTTAGTCTGCTATCATTGACTTAATTTTCTTTATTTTCAGAGAAATATTTTTGAATCCTAAGTTCTCAAATTGTCTTGCACAGTGTGGTACATGAAATAGGGACTGTATTTTATTAAAGGACATTTTATGTAACTTGGTTTTCCCCACCAGAAAGAAAGAAGTTGGGAATGTTATGACAAAATTTTAAAATAAAAGTTCAGGAGAAAAGTGTTACAAACTGTCTACTTTCAAGCTTTATTCTGTATTTCATATTTCCAGTTTTTGAGTGTATATGTTGCAGTTGTACTTCCAATTTGTGTAATAAATATTAATGTTTAATACATTTTAATGTGAATTGGATACAGCTATAATATTTAACATTTTGATAATTAACCAGATTAGTATTCATCTCTTAATGATATTTTGAATTTAAAAAGACTTCTAGTTACAAGTCATGTTCACTAATTATACCTAAATATAGTATAACCATTTGAATAGCATCCAGCATATAGAGAAGAAATTTGATTACAGGCTTTCACATTGTTTTTGAGCAAGTGCATTTTTATGCTGTTGAATGCTTCAAAGGTCTGATTTTAGAATTTTAATGAATGGAATGCTTCTGAAGCAAAAAATGTGGGGGAAGTGATCAGCTTTCAAACCTAATTGCCATGATTATTCTAGCTGTGTAAATAAATTTTTTCTCAAGATAACTGAAGGCTAGAATTGTTGAATAGAAAAGTAAAAATTAAAAAATGAGGAAATGTTGAACAAAAAAAATTGCATTTTTATTTAAATATTGGCTATTGAATTTTTTTAAGGGTGCTACAGTTCGTAATGAAATGGATTCTGTCATCATTAGTCGGATAGTAAAAGGAGGTGCTGCAGAAAAAAGTGGTCTGTTACATGAAGGGGACGAAGTTCTGGAGATCAATGGCATTGAAATTCGGGGGAAAGATGTCAATGAGGTTTTTGACTTGTTGGTAAGTTGCCCCGGGTAGAAGAATAATTAATAGACTCTCAAAAGCCTCCTTTGTTATTGGACTTCAGAATAAAATATTTAAAAAGCATTTTAAAAATAACTGTTAAGATCTCTATACAATTTCTAGCATAATTTTCCCATGGTATAATTGTTTCCACAATATTTATTAGTAGAATTTTATTCTTGTGGGGGTGGAGGTGCTGCTGATTTTTTTTTCTTTATGACTACCAGGTATATTTTATTCGCCTCTGAAATCACTAATAATAACTCATTCAAAAATACATGTATTAAATGCCTACTGTGTGCTGGCTGCTAGGGAAACAGTAAAAACAAAGTTCACACCCTCATGATTTTTATGTTCTTTTTTTTTTTTTTTTTT